CTTGAGATCCGATTACCTCTGAGCAAGCTCCTCTTTATTACTTATATCTATCACAACCTCATTTGGCCCTGTCTCCTGCAGCTGTCTCTGCTCTTCGAAACAGAAACTTTGAGGAACAGTCTGTGCTCTACTGGGCTTTTTGGTCTATTTTCTTGCAGCAGGTATCTGCGTAGATAAAGTCCTCCATTGCCGCTACCTCATCTCCTTGATACAATCCCAGAAGCTGCTCAGAAGATTGACATCGACCTCCTCCTCCTCATTAAGTGATCATTAATAGAGTTCTACTGTTCCTCTCTATTTTATCTCCAACAGCTCTGTCCCTCCCTGCTTTCTCCACATGCATTCCTAACACACCAGATAATGCTCTTCCTTTTCCTCCTGCCTGTCCTTCCTACACAAGTTACACACTGCTAATATTAAAGTGCCACAATCAATTCCGCAGAGCCATTGTGATGCCAATTAAACTGCAGCCTTCGTTGCATCCCAAGACTTCTCCTTCTTCCTGTTTATTTTCCACACTCTTAGCATTAGTGTAAAGACATCTCAGATGTTTGGCAGCTTGCCCTCACGTTATCCTTTTCGTCCTTCTGTGGTCTCCTGCGATTTCCCACTTCCACTCCAGAAATGAATTGTTAACCAGACCTCTGATTTTTTTATTCACCTGAGGTCTTTCCTGCACACCTCGATGAAAGCCAATGTCCTTGGGTGCTTCTCACTTGTTCTTCCCTAGCAATAAATTTCGGACGTTCTGACAATAGTGATATTTTTGTTAATTAAGCTCTGCAGCGTGGAAATTCTAAGTGTCTTCCTAAAGAACGGGGCAGAAAGTTGTTAGTGGAAAAGTGATCTTAGGAAATAAGTCTCCAGCCTGATTTCAGCCTTCTCAGCCCCAGAGAGGGCTGACAGTGAACATAATTAAAAGAAACACCATTTTTGGAGCAGACCGCAGTGGTCAATATGCTTACCTTAGGGTCTTATATTAGGGTCCAGGCACAGTATCTGGACGAAAGCAGCCCCAGTGGAAACCCTCGGAGAATCCTTCCCAATTCCCAGCTGTACAGTGCACTAAATCATAATGTATATTCATTGGGATTGGCACTTTCCAGGGCTGCAGCCACCAAGAAATAAGCAGTGATGAGCACAGAGGGAGTAAGATGCTGACTCTTATCCCTCACAATCACCAACAGCTGGGACATCCACAGTTTACAACCAGCCTGACACAGCAAAGCAACAAGAACAAATATTTGGAAATCTGATGGCTTAATATAGCTGGATGCAGACAGAACCTTACTGCAGAGGAGTTTGCTGCACGTGGCTGCTGTGCCAGAGAGCAAAGAGCACACCACTGCCGTCTGCCTCCCAGGGACTGGTAGGCACAAACCTTGGTCCTTCTCTGAGGCTTCAGGTGTGCTTCTGAAGCACTGTGAATAGAAGTTAAAGGAAGATGTTTCATGCAATGTCATCAGCTCTGTCTTTCTGCTAACATTTGGAAAACCAAATGATGCTAACGTTACATATTTCAGCAAACAGACTGGGTTATCATCTGCATGGAAGTAGTAAAGAGGAAGCCGGACTTGCTGTTCATGGAAGATCCAGTGTTTTTCAAAAAAAAAAACATTTGTAAACCTACAGCCCCACCCCCATAAATCAATGTAAGCTTGGAGTCTGAAAAGGAGAAGCAGGCATAGAAAGGGCTGAAGCCCACAGCCCACTCTTTTTTCGTTCTAACATCCGTTATTTAACAGTTTGATGCATATCTGTATCTCAGAGAAGTATTGGTCATTCACATGTGTCGGAGCAGTGCAGGCAGAGGTGGATGGGCTGCCCAATGCCTGCTCGCGTCTGTTCCCATCACCCAGCAGACCCTGCTCCCTCTTCTGGACAGCGATGTAATTAAAGGAATCATTTCCCCTCCACATGCGTGATTTTGAGCACAGGGAATTGAGAAATGGAAATGGGAATTCATATTGCTTTGGCAGGACACTGAGATCTGAGCTACACATCCACTGAATTGCCATATTTGGAGTTCTCTGTAACAAAGGACTTCGGTATTTGTGGTCAAAGCTGAAAAAATAGTGAGTGGTTTTATTTTGTTCAGCTCTTGGGGGAGGGTGGGAGAGGGGCAGAGAGGAACAATCCCCTTTCAGCCTTGCTGTATCCTTTCGCTGCTTAGTTTTGTACAAAAGAATATTGCAGAAGTGAAAAAGGACATGGAAAGAGATCCCATCCATAGCAAGAGCTCAAATGGGCTCGGATAGCATTGTATTGGTTACAGCATCCAAAAGACATGCCCAGCAAGGCCAGTGTCTCCTCTCCTTCTCTAAGTTCAAATGGTTTTGCTCCAAAGGAGATGTTGTGACTCTTTGGTGATTTTTGGGTGTTCTCCTGACGGTTAGCAAGCACAGGGATTTGGGAAAAGGGCTTTCCCACCATTTAGGTATTGCCTAAAAAAAAAAAAAAAAAGCAATTAATGATGTTGGAGAAAGGTACAAAGTACTCTACAGTGCACATCCAGCACAGCAAAATCCTCACTGCTGCTTCCTAAGGGCTTCCTCATCCTGCTGGTCCTTGGTCACCAGGGCCACATCTGGGGCTGAGCAGGGAGCAGAGCCTGGTGACAGCACAGCCTGCCACGTGCGGGCTACAATAGCAGCAGTATCAGGGAAAGGAGAGGAAATTGCATTCAAAGCCACAGGGTATTGTTGTAGCCAAAGGATCGGATCGGTGAAATGAAGGGATCCTCCGTTCATCCCCCACATGCTGCTATGAGTGAGTTTTGTACAATCTCCAAGTTTTACATTGCATCCCTTTCCAGAGAGCACATTGAAGCCTGTCTCGTTGTGGATCTTCTGGGTTGTTTTTCATTGCCTTCCTCTGCAATGAGAGCAGGAACGTGGCACATCACGATGGCTGCTCAAGAGTGCAGCAGGTAGAACTTGGAACCTGGCTTCAACGCTGCAGCGCTTCTTACAGCCGCTCCTTCCAAATCTACTATCAGTCGTAAACTTGAAACACCAATACAAGCCAAATAGAAACACTCCTCTGGAAGTTGTAAAACAACCAGGAACGGGGCTGGGCTCTTCTGCAGGACTCTGAGCTGCTGCAATGCAATCAGCATAACCCAGTTCCACAGCCTTTGTTCAACACCCGTCCGGGTGGGAGCACTTTGCCAAGGGTGTGAGAGCAGATTGCGACCTGGTAACAATCCCACGTCAGATGAACCATTTCCTGGCACTTGAGATGAGGTTTTTCTGTGTGTTTGCTGTACCTTTTATGGAGTTTCTTTTTGCAATGGAGACTCAGCCCTGAGGCTGCCTGCACCCTTCCTCTGCCCAACGTGACGGGGAGGTTCCCTTCCCGAAACCACCTCCCAGAGAACAGCTCCTCATTAGCTGAGACACAACCAGGAAAGGTTTAATAAATACATTACCCATCGCAACAAAAATAAATATCATTTATAAAACATCCGTTATCTTTCGCTCATCAGCATAATACAGTGCATGTACACGTGCCCGGTACAGATGAGATTTACAAACGGCCGCCCGCATCACCCCACCCCAAGCATTCCCCCAGTGACAGCACCACGAATCACCACGTTCAATGGAATCAAAGCGCGGCTCCTTTGCGTTTCTCAGCCATTTGCCACACAGCAAAGGTGAAAGCGAGAGTACAAAAAGTCCTCGCATCGGGAGAACGGCTTCAGGGCTCCGGGGCGGGGGGGGGAGGGGGGAAGGTCGGTCTGACAGCGGCACTTCAGCTCAGCTCTGCAGCATTCAGCCCACGTTGGGAGCTTAGAGCTGCTGAACCGAAGAATGGAACATATAAAAGCAAGCTGATTTTTTGCCACAAAAAAAAAGTTTAATAATACAGTAATAGTTGGAGTACCGTCCGGTAAAGGTGTATGGTAAAAAAAAAAATAAAAGTTCTGAGTATGAATTCACCTCGGGTAATTTGAGCGTCGTAAATACTTGCATTATAGTGAGGTAGACAGTAAAAAAATTCCTTTCTCCGTTATTAGCACAGAATTTAAATTTTGCAATAATATTTTAAGGAGGCGGTAATGTTAGATAAGGAGGAAATATCTGATTAATGCTTAATTCTGTACAACTCAAATATAAACTTTTCCAAATATTAGACATTATAACATTTCGAGTGCATATAATGTTTTGTACAATAACAACAAGAAATGCACGCTGTTCATCTCTGCTTTGCACTTTCCAGTCCGATTAAATAAACAAATATTTACAACTTTTATATGAACAACGGTGCATCCCGAGCAAAATGTGCATTTTAAATTATTGCTCCCGGTCGAGTCTTTTTAAGTTGCATTTTTATCACTTTATATTATTATTCTCTTCTCTCTTTTTTTGTTAGTTTTTTTTTTGTTTGTTTGATTGATTCCCCTTCCTTCCACCCCCCTTCCCCCCATCCCGGTTCGCAGCTCTGCGGCCCCACAGCCGCCCACAGCGATGCCCGAAGGCACCGAGCCCGCGGTGGCAGCGCAGGGATCGGCGCGTTCCTTTGCCGGAGCCGCCACATCCGACGGCGTTTCGTCTCCTTCCCCGCTCACCCCGTCGCGCTGTCCGTCACGCCTCGTTCTCATCACAGCTTTTCGTCGCTGCCTTAAAATGTCACCTATCCGGTAATCACAATCTCGGGCAGTTCTTTCTTTTTTTTTTTTTTTTTTTTTTTTCTTTTTCCTTTTTATGGAGTGGGCGGGCTGTTCCAGGCCCGTCACCCCGCAGGAATGCGAAAGAGAGCGGGCAGGCACGGAGCAGCCCTTCGCTCTGCCCCTCTCCCTCCCCGCCCGTTTCTGGCCGTATCTCCCCCCGTCGGAAGGGCGGCCGGAACGCTGAGAGCCCCAGGGCGGGGTTGCGGCTCGACGGACGCCCGCCGGCCCTTCCCCGTCCGCCGCTCTCCGCCCCGGGACGCTCCCGGTCTCCCTCCGCCGCCGGAGCGGCTCCGCCAACGCGCAGCCCCCGCCGAGGGGCGGCCGCCCGCTACCTGCAGCCGCACGACTCCACCACCATGTCCTCGTACTGCTTGTACACCACGTTGTTGCCCGCGTCGATGTAGAGGATGCTGATGGGGGTCAGCTTTGTGGGCACGCAGCAGCTGGGCGGCGTGGAGCCGGGGTCCATGGAGTTCATGAGGGTCTGGATGATGGCGTGGTTGGTGGGCTCCAGGTGGGAGCGCAGCGGGAAGTCGCACACGCCCTCGCAGTGGTAGGCCTCGTACTCCAGCGGGGCGATGATCCAGTCGTCCCAGCCCAGCTCCTTGAAGTTGACGTGCAGCGGCTTCCTGCTGCAGCGCAGCCGCGCCTTCTTGCCGTGCCTCTTGCCGTGCCGGCTGGCGAAGGCGGTGCGGCGCTGGCGCCGGGCGGGCGGGCGGCGGGCGGCGGGCGGGGGCGCGCCCAGCTCGGCCCGCAGCTCCCCGAGCAGGCTGCGCCGCCGCGCCCGCGTGAACACCACCAGCAGTGCCCGCTCCTGCGGGGCCCGCGGCCGCCGCCCGAAGCCCAGGCCCCGCAGGTCCAGCCAGCGACGGGGCGGCGGCCCGCGGGCGGCCGAGGCGCGCAGCTCCAGGCACAGCCGCTTCCAAGGCCGGCCCGCCCGCAGGCCCTGCCGCACGTCGAACACCTCCCAGCCCGCCGCCGCCGCCGCCCGTGGGTCCATGCTGCGAGAGTGTAGCGGGCGCGGGGAGAGGCACGGGAAGAGCTGCAGCAGAGGGGCGGCGGCGGCGGGCGGCGGGCGGCCGGCGGGGGGGCGGCGGAAGAGCCGCAGCTCGGCCCCCACCAGCTCCTCCTTGTCCGAGAGCGTGGAGACGTCAAAGAAGTACTTCTGCCGCCTGAGTGGAGCGGGAGAGAGATCGTCTGCGGGAGAGAGGAGAGGAGACGTCAGCTATGTGGGAAGGGAAAAGCAAAGAGGGAAGAGGGAAAAGAAATGAAGGAGAGGAGAGGAGAGGAGAGGAGAGGAGAGGAGAGGAGA